AGAGGATGACACAGAGAGACCCAAGCTGGAGGGAGAGGCGAGTGCTATAAAAGTACCAAGACTCTGGCCACCCCCATGGCCGCCCCCGGTGTGCGCTGTCCTCCTCCCATCTCGAACCCTCAGGGCGAAGCAACGGAGAGGAAAACAAGTTAAACGGGAGTGTTTATACGGGCGCCTTCCTCTCCCCCTCCGCTAGCTTCAAGGTTTATTAAGTACCTGATGCCAACGACACGGCCCCTTCCCACCCCTGTCTACACTCGGAACAAGAGGCAGGACTGTTAGCTACACTGACGGCGGATGCCTGACCTCCTCCTCTGAGGCTCACTTCCGGAAGCTGCTCTCTGGGATGAACAAAGTGCGTCTTCGGAGCTTCCTGCCGGATCCTTCCTCCAGCAGGTAGGTCACGTCGATGGCTGAAAACAGAACCAAGGAGGCTCATCGAATCCCCGCCCCCCACTCCTCCCTCCACATCTGAGCTGGAGGGAGGACACTGGAGCCCAGGGACTCCTCTTCCAGCCTGTGAACGCGTCGGGCCTTGCTTGGGAGGGAAGTTCTCCGGGGGACCGTCTCCGCACCCGCAGATCCATTCCCGACACGCAACAGGATGCGGGCCCGCAAAAGAACCGCGAGGTTTTCACAGGATACTTTCCGTTCCGGGCAAGTGATCGTGAGCTGTTCTTTTCCATTCTCTCCACACTCATTTCCCCTTTCTCTTAAACCCGAGACATGAGCCTGACTCTTCTTACCGTTTTTTCCGGGGATTTTGTCCAGGAGATTGAGCAAGATCTGGTTGAGTCGTTCCCGCTGGCTGTGCCGTCGCTCCTCAGGGGTACAGGCAGGCGCCGGCTCCGGACTGCTCTCCTCCGCCTTCTTCTCGCCTTCGCTCGCTTCTGCGGCGGCCCCCTCCCGCTCCGGCTCCTCCAGGCCAGGCATCTCCTCAGCGGCTTGCTCCTGGCTGGCCAGGACCTCTTCGATCAAGGGCAGAGCATCGTCCTCCTGGCCCAGGTCTTTTAGGGGTGGCTTTGGGCGCTCAGACTTCCAGGAGGACCTGTGAGGCAGAGGTGGGAATTTAGACTAAGGCTGAGGAGGGCACTGGGGAGGGAAGGGGAGCAGAGGGGAGGCGGGGGTGGGGCGGTGGGGAGGCACCTCAGGTGGCTTCAGACCCTGAGTCTAGCTCTTGGAGTCTTGGCGCTGGCTGTGACTTTATTATTATTTGCACAAATCACCACCTTTCTCTGAAATCTGTTTTCTAATTATAAAATACAATTTCCTTCTTTCAGGAAATCCAAGGAATCCACAAACAGCAGAGTTGGTAACACCGCTTAGCTAGTTCTGACTGCGTCGTGAGCATAGCGAGGTTTGGCCCAGCGCCGTGAGGCCCACAGTCCGACTCCAGTAAGACTTCATACGGAGCATTTCCTTTCCCGTACCCCCCCTCCCCCCATGTGCGGTCTAGGAACGTCCCCCTCAGGGGAAGCCATGATGTCGGTACAGCGGGTGGCAGGCCACCATTCAACAGAAAAGGAAACTGAAGGAAGGCCTCTGGTGCCCCTTCTCCCAGAACAAGCATCTCATGCACAAAACCAGGGCAAATCAGAGCCACATGCGCACAGTGCTCGGCAAAACCCCGCACTTGCAGAGGCTTGACAGCACGCCCTTGACTGAGGTCCCAGGAACCGAACACCTCGGGTAATGAGAAAAGCTCGCAGAAACCTTGAAAAGGGACTTTTCTGAATCTGTCTAGAGTTCTGTCCCAAATCTTCTCCTTCTCTATTCCTGTTCCTTGTGAGCCTCCCTCCCTGCCCTGACTCCAGCTCCGTGACGAGACCGTGCCTCCTGTCACCTAGGCCCTCTCCTGGGCCACCCTGTCAGAGGTTCCCTATCCTCAGGTATGGCTGAGCGGGTGGATGGCGGTCCCCTTGCCCAAGCCGTGGGCCACCTCCTACAGGCCCCTCACGTCCCCATGGGACTCACCGCCCTCCGTTCCTCTTGTAGTTGTCTGGGACGTAATGCGGCTGCAAAGAAAGGGAAGTGGTAAGTCTATGTCAGAGGCTGGCGAGGCTGGACCAGGCGGCCCGGGGCCAACTCAGGACAAGGAGCGGGAGGGGGGCAGCTAAGGAAACAGGAAGAAACCACAGGGCTGAGGCCCTCACTGGGTGAGGGCCGGGCGGCTGGGTCTTAAGGTCTGAAGTTCAGTACTTCCATCAGTCTGTAGGCTACAGTGGTTTTGGGGTCTCGTGAGCCCGCGACGACAGTACGAGGGACGGTCTCCCAGTCCTGTCTGTCCCATCCTGATGTTTAAGTAGTGAAAGTTGGGGCTTCAAAGCTAACCTGTGAGCTGTTGCCTGAGCAAGCAAGACCAAAGAAGTCTAGATGAGAGGCGGGCAGAATATAAAATACTGTTCAGAGGTATCCAAAAACAAGAATAGGAAAAGCAGGGGCATGAATGCTTGCTTTCTGGCTAGACGGTTTCTAACCATTCTACGAGGATGGCCATGGTTTTGGACAAGCCCGCAGAAAGCAGGGTCAAGGATGAGGAGCTTAGTCCTGGGTCTCATTTTAGTAGGTAGATGGGGGGACAACCAAAGCCTCTGTGGGAAGATGAATGGCACAAAATAACCGTATGGAGGAGGAGTATGTTCACGACAATGAAAGAAAAAACACAGGAGAAAGGCAGAAAATGAAAATGTTAATAACTCCATTATTTTCTGCGCAGTGGGATAATGTACAACTTTTTCTTAATGCTTCTGTAGTTTTCACATTTTATATAATGATGGTGTCTTACATTTTCAATGCAGAGATACTAGGAAAAACCACTGAATTGTTTTCACTGACGTTTTCTCTGGGTTTGCTAACTCTACTTCTTAAAATTATGGATGTGATGGGGCGCCTGGGTGGCGCAGTCGGTTAAGCGTCCGACTTCAGCCAGGTCACGATCTTGCGGTTCGTGAGTTCGAGCCCCGCATCAGGCTCTGGGCTGATGGCTCAGAGCCTGGGGCCTGTTTCCGATTCTGTGTTTCCCTCTCTCTCTGCCCCTCCCCCGTTCATGCTCTGTCTCTCTCTGTCCCCCAAAAAAAATAAATAAACGTTGAAAAAAAAAAAATTATGGATGTGAAAAACACAACACAAACGATGGGGGCTCAAGGGCTAAGATTGTAAAGAGGTGAGAAAGAAAAAAGAGGGAAACCCGACTGTAACACGGAAGCCAACAACTCCTGAGAAACAGCCCACGGCAGGAAATGCAGAAGAAATGTAGAAATGTATTTATGCTGTTTAGAAATCCCAACTGCCCGGCTCCCGCAGTCCGGGACAGAGGAACAAGATGAGGAAGCAGGCTCCCCACCCTACAGAGCGGCACGCGTGAGCTGCGCGGCCTGGACACGGACAGGTGGAAGGACGGAGACTCACCGAGAAATCTCTTTTGGGAGTGAGCTTCTTGGGGAAGTGGTCAAAGGCGTAGGGCTTGGTGCAGACGGGATAGCGGTTCCGGTGGATCTTGTAAAACAGGTGTGCGGACTTGTCGAGCCGATAGTCACAGATGTACACGTCCTGCTCCTTCACCCCTTTGGGTCTCCCTAGGAGTGCAAATACTGCTAAAGAACCCTCCTGTCTCCCTCCCTTCTCCCCGAGCTGCCCAGAGATGACACCACACCACTGGGAGGGCAGCGGGACCGTGAAGAGGGGACGTTACGGCAATTCTGAGAGGCATCTGGTGACTGCAGAAGGAAGGAGAGTCCCCAGATGGGTGCGTGTGTGGGTGTGTGACAGGGCGGGAAGGTACCAGATGGGCAGCTTATTCAGGTGCTGCAGGAATGTGGGAGCACAGCCACCAGGATGACAGAGAAGACAGAGCAGAGTGTGGGGATGTCAGCAGAGAAGAAGGGCAGGTATAAAGGTGTAAAGGAAGGGAGCACATCTGGAAACAAACATTTTATTTAGTAAATATTTATTTACGTTAAGTCCTCTCTATGCCCCATGTGGGGCTTAAACTCATGACCCCAACTGAGCCCGCCGGGTGCCCCTGGAAATAAACACTTCACAACCGGGGGACACAGTCCCCAGAACCACAGGCCCCAAGCAGCCAACGCTGCTATGATACCAAGAAGGTGAGGCAGCCGAGCGCCTGGAAGAGACAGGTGAGCACGTGGGAGCTCACACCGGGAGCCCAATTGGCCCAAGTGCTCGTAGAGTGTCATTTCACTTCATCTTCACAGAATGCTGTGACAGGGGCTAGCCCCTACTTCCGGGAGATTAAGTGACTGCCCGAGGATGCACAAGTAACAAGTGGTGGGGCTGGGATTTGAAAATGGACTGACTCTACAGCCTACATTGTTGGCCATGGAGCTCATAAAAGCATTGCACTTTTCTGGTTGGTTTGTTTAATGTCCAGAGTTGCTGATGGCCTTGGGGACTCTGGAGTGGGCGGGTGAAAGAACATACCTTCCGACAATACTAATGGGATGCTGAGCACGCGATATTAAGGAAGAAATGTTAACTAAATAAGTAAAAGGCGGGGGGGGGCGGGGCTAGGAATTAACAGCCACTGAGTACCAAGCACTAGGTAAAAGAAAGAAACGATGTAACGTTCAGCTCTCCCAAGCTTCACAGCTAGCCTGAGGACTCTTTTCATCACACGGAGACAAGAAGAATGGAGTGGCAGCTGCAGATTGAGGAACAGGGGACAGAAGGTCATTTCTTCGGCAGCTCGGGTCACTCACCTTTGCAATACGTGTAAAGGTCCAGTACACAGCAGGTCCCCACCACGGCCTCCAAGGGAATGATCTCGTACAGTGGCACCCGAAACAGCTCGTTGTGATAGAAGCGGCGAGAGGGGGAGTGGTGGGTCTCATGGGGGCGGAAATAGTGGTGACCAAAGGCGAACCGCTCCTCTCTAGGGCAGAGAGAGGGTCAGGGTCAGTCAACTGGCAAGACCCTGGCAAGTATTCAGCTCTTTGCTGGAAGGAGACAGCGAAGACCCCAACACCTACTTTTCATTCTTCCAAAGCTTCTCAATGCGAAAGATGTCAAGTTTGTCTCGATTAATGTGTGACAACAGTCGGTAGGACTGGCGGACGGGGTGGCCGTCAGGGGTGCGCCGGCTGTCCCGCATCAAATACACACAGTCGCCTGGAAGGCACAGGAGAGGTTAGACGAGGCCAGCATGAGCTCTGCCAGGCGTCCACTGGTCCCACCCAGGTCCACCCAGGAGAACGTAAAATCTAAACAACGGGTACAAAGAGCACGGCCGCAGTCTCGTGGGGAAGATCGTCCATGCTAGACTGTGAGGACACCACGAGGGAGCGTGCCCAGCTCTTGGATCCTGTTGTGTTTGTCCCAAGTCCTAAAACTAGCTTCGTGACAGCCTTGTCTCTCCAGATTCACTTTATTTTGTGGAGGGGAAATGTATAAAGCTGAAGGACTAAAGGAAATAAAACCTATACTGTTGACCCTTGAAACAACATGGTTTGAATGGCACAGGGTTGATTTAATGCAGTTGTTTTTTTTTTTTTTTTTTTTTTTTTTTTTTGGATAAATATGGTACAGGACTGTAGATGTACTGTAAAAACCTTCCTTACGATTTTCTTAACATTGTTTTCCTCTAGCTTTATTGTAAGCATGAAGTATATAAATACATGTAACATACAAAATATAGGTTAGTGGGCTATGTTATCAGTAAGGAAGGCTCTGGTCAACAAAAAGCGATTAGTAGAGTTCTTGGGGAGTCAAAAGTTACATGTGGATTTTTTAGGGGTGCCTGGGTGGCTCAGTCAATGAAATGTCCGACTCTCGATTTTGGCTCAGGTCACAGTCTCATCGTTCACGGGTTTGAGCCCTGAGTCGGGCTCTGCGCTGGGTGTGGAGCCTGCTTGAGATTCTCTCCCCACA